TTATAGCAGAGTTCACCTGGATTTATAGATCATTGTTTTACACTGTAAATATCTTTAATTAAATATTAAAACTGATTTTATGAGAAAATAAAAGATAAAAACTGTATTTTAATGAGTTATTTTCTGTTACCAGCTGCTGAATATTTAATTTTCTAACTTTTTCTCAAAATATTTAAAATGTATTATCCAAATGTAATATTTTTTAATTTCCTCACAGTATTTGTGATTTCGTTGTCGTACAACACTTTCAGTGAAACAAAAATGAAATGAATTCTAATTAAATTATTACTTTAATTAAACATTAATGTTTGTGCTTCACTCAATATATATTTGGTAATATTTTATTATGTATTTACTATTCGTGGTTTCTATATCACTGTTATCATTACATAAAACAAAGCGTCAGATCCATAATACTCTCGGAGACGTGACAGGAAACAATTAATGTGTAAATGACGATAAAATATAAGTCGAAACTGATTGATCTATTGATTTAGATTCTCTAATGTCTGATGTTTCATCCATATTGAAGGTTAGGGTTATTAACTTATTAACTTAACTTAATACATTCAATTAACAGCGTGAAAATGATGTTGACAGTTTTTAACAACACGTTGGGGCTACATGACACCCTCGAGCACTTCAATATTTTATTGAAACATACAAGATACTCAGTTCGAGTGTTTTTTTTGTCAACGTGAGTTTTTCATGAATGTGGTTTTGAGATCTCAGGTTTGACGGTGAAGTTGTGGAAGATCTTGGACCTGATCTGATGCAGGTTGATGCCGTAAATAATGGGGTTGATGAGGGGCGGGACCACCAAGAACTCTGCGGCCAGTGCGTTCCGCAGCACCTGCAGCGTGCTGCTGCCATAACGGGAGAACATGGTGTCAAACATCAGCGAGGTGGTGAAGACTAACAGCGTGATGAGGTGCGGCAGGCACGTCTGTATGAACTTCCTGCGGCTGGACTGCAACTTGAGCGAGGCCCGGACCAGGTAGCCGTAGGACACCAGGATGAGTCCGGTCTGCGACAGGTGCGAGAACGTGAGCACGAAGCCATAGACGTTGTTGACGGTCGTGTCGGAGCACGCCAGCTTAACCACCTCCCAGTTGGTGCAGAAGATCTTGGTGACGTGGCGCCTGCAGAGTGGCAGGCTGGCGGTTAGGATGACGCCCACTGCTGTCTCCAGCAGTGTGAAGCTCCAGGTGAGCAGCAGCAGCTGCACCACCCTCTGCACTGTCATCAGCGTCCGGTACTGCAGCGGCCTACAGATGGCCAGGTAGCGGTCAAACGCCATGACGGTCAGACTGGTGAACTCGCAGAAAACATAACTGTACACCACAAAAATCTGCGTCAAACAGCCACCGTATGTGATGATGTGAGAGTCGGCCAGAAGGTCGTGAAGCAGCTTCGGGTAGAAACTGGACGCTCCGCAGATGCCGTTAAAGCACAGATTGCACAGGAAGATGTAGAGCGGTTCATGGAGTGATTTCTCCACACAGACGGTGGCGATGAGCATCAGGTTGACGAAGATGGTGATGAGGTACGACGTCAGAGCTAAGGCGAAGTAGATCTGACGGTTCGCCAGAGAGTCATTCAGACCCTGAAGCTCAATTATTATCTCAGAGTTATTCTGCATCATGTCCAAACACTTCACACCTCCAGTAATCTATAAAGTTTCTTTAAAGAAAGTAATCTATAAAGTTTCAAACTTCAGAAAGTTAACAAAATGTATAAAATAGCAACAAATGTGCATCTTTAGTTCAGAGTGATTCTTCAAACAGATAAAAGGTCTTCCTTTAAATGAGCTTTAAACACACACACATTGAACTTCAGTCACACACACAACAGTGTAATCCAGTGTTTTCTGAGGCTGTTGGTTTAAAGATAGATGGTAGATCAGCTGTCAAACAAAAACATTCATCATCAGGACACACAACATTTAAAGTGAATGCAGACTCATGAGGATCCGTTAAAGTGATAAATTCTCTTCAAATTTCTCACTGCAACAGTTTCACCTGGTTTTCTGAAAAGCAACAAATAAAACAGAATCTGTGTCTGTGACAAGAATCAATAGAATCAATAGATAATCAATGGAACAACACACACAGACACACACACAGAGAAGAGTCTGTGTTCTGTTCTCAGCACAGAACAGGAAACATGATCAATACTTCAAAAACTCAACATCACCAGTTTCTAACATCAGCCTAACCTACTGATTAAATGTTTTATGATCAGATTCATTAAAGTTCCAGAGAATCAAATCACTGTTTTTATGTGTTCATCAATCAGTTTTCACACATTAACATCCATCAGCGCTGCCGACTGAACACTAATGAGAGCATACTTCAGCTGGTCACTCTGAACAATCAGAAACAGACGCAGACAGATGTTGAGTTGATTAAAGACAAAAGAAAGATCCTAAAAGGGTTAAAAGTGATTTTTAGATGTTCAATAAGTCACAAAGGAAAAATTCAAAGGTGGAGAAAAACATTAAAACTGACCTCAATTCAGTGACTCATTACCAACTTGACTCACTTTGGACTGATCTCATTTGCACTTAAAAACAACATGAAGACAAATACAGTTAAATAAAAGCAACAGCCTATAAGAGAGGCAGTCAACACAACATCACATCACAGGTCACATCAGAGAGGAACTCTGAATCAATCTGATCAATCACGTTCTACCGGAGCAGCTGATCTGAGCTGCTGGAAACCCAAAGTCAGCGAGCAGCAGCTCTTATACACCTGAAACCTGCAGACGGACAGGTGAAGAGTGACGTCTGATGGCATCAGAGAGGAGGCTGAGGCCACGCCCCCTCCTGGTCAACATGTCAAACTCTGATTTATTTTAAATCTCAGAATTTTTAATTTGATGCTGTGAGGTCAGAATACACATTTACTCAAATATCAAAACTCCAGTTTCACCTTTATTTTATATTAAACCAAAGAACAAATTTATTCTATAATTTATATTTAAAGCTCCTTTCAAAATTCAAAAAGTGCTTTAACAAAAACAGAACCTAAAATATAAACAAGATAAAACAATTTCAATAGTTATTCAAATATCACAGAAAAAGAAAAAGCTGTATGATAAAAGTGAGTTTTAGAGGTCCAGTGTGTAACATTTATCTATTGTCAGAAATGGAATATAATATTCATATGTTTTCATTTTATACACAGAGGGAGCGAGTTCTCCTCTATTGAGTCCACCATGTTTCTACAGTAGCCCAGAAAAGACAAATCAGGCTTCCAAATTTGCTTCCAAACTGACAGTTGGACGAAAAACAGCTGGACCTCAAAATATTTTAAAACAAAATTCAGCTGTTTACTTCTTATTCAATAAACTAATAATGTAATTTTCTGTGTTTTGGCATTTAATTGTTTTGATATTAATGTCTACAGTTAAAAGCTGTAAATTCAGTCAGTTAAGACAGAAAACATCATCTTTAATGACTCTATAAGGTTCATGCGCAGCACCCAAACGGTATGAAAGTGAAAGTCTTGTCTTCAAGCTTTTTTCGGGTGTTCTTTGATTATATGCCATAGCTTCTCCAACTTTTGTAATAATGGTCCAAAATGAAATTGTATATTATGTAATGAAATGTGTCTTGCAGGAGGATCCCCGAATCCCCCAACAGATATGTGCGCCTAGGTCTTCCAAAAAGCTAGGAAAAATGCTGAGATTTCTGCAGCCTGGGAATCCCACAGATGAGGGGACTGATCGGCAAAAAAGTCAACTTCGGTTGAGAAACCATTAGTGGAGCCCTGCGAGAGGATCTTAGGCAGCAATAAGGTTCTGGGACCTAGAATATTCAAGGCCTTAAAAACAAGCAGTAAATGTGGTGTAATGTGGTCACTCCTCTTAGTAAGATTTAAAAGCCTGGCAGCAGTGTTTTGTATCAACTGCAGTCTTTCGATGTTACTGCTGATTTCAGAATAAAAGCGACTGCTGGAAGAGATAAAAGCATAGATGATATTTGATTATATATATCGTATAACGTATAAATTACGTATGCAGAAGAAAAGGAATGACCCAATCTTGATCAGCTGTCTCAGTTGCAAAACAGGACTGCACCTCTTTGGTCACCTGAGAAACTAAATACAACTAATCAAAGATAACACTAAGGTTGCGGGCCTCTTCTGATCATTATTAAATAATGAACCCAGAGTGGAGGAGAGATCATTAATGCTGATAGAGCTGGGGACAGAGGGGGTAATTATTTGTTCATTTAATTGTAGGACATTATTTATTTTAGAAAGGAAGGACATGAAGCTTTATCAGGACATACAATTGGATGTCATACACATTGCAGTGGAAATCAATGTCATGTCTAAGCATGATGTTCCCCAGGGGTAGCATGTAAACGGTAACAAGACCCAAAATAGATAGATCCTTGGGGGACCACAAGAGGATTAGATCAGGCAGATCCAAGTATTACAGAGAAGGAGCTGTTTGACAGATAGATTATTCAACTCAGTGTGACTGATGCCATCAAAGTTCTTCAGACTGATTAAGACACTGTGATCCACTATGTCAAAGGCTGAGCCAAGGTCAAGGACAATTAAAACTCCATACAGGCCAGAGTTGACCACAGCAGTCTCACCAAATTTTCCAGGATTTGATTATTAAACATAAACAGTTCTCAGGATACATGTGCATAGCCAGGTCTCTTGTCCATTATTTTAGATATTTGTGTGACAGTGATCTAGTACTTTCTGTTTATCTTGGCTCATGATTGATGTAGTTTTGTCTTCAGGCTCTGTTTTCGTGTTACATTGCAGATCCCACTTATCCATCTTTAACATAACTATTTGTTTTGTTTTTATTTATTTTGATTTCATCTTGTAATAATTATATATTATGGATGTTCAGATTCCTGAGAAGTTTATAATGGAGTCCTTGTGGAGAGCCCAGCGGTCCATTAAGGGGTAGGGTTTCGTTTGCGCAGTGAAACATGCTTGATGGATTTGAGACATAAATATTATCTCAACTAAATAAATCCTGGAAAACATTTTACTGGCCATTTGTGAAGGTTTAAATTTGACTTTAGAGTAAGTGTTACAAAGCCGACTGTTGGATTGATGAAGCTTGTAATAGACCTGTAGATCCTCTAAAAGATACTGTGTCGCCTAAAGTCCACATAGGGAGGAGTTCAGGGTGGATGGATGGGTCAAACAAACACAGGAACCTACGAGATCTCGTTTTGAGTCCTGAATGAAACCAAAAGTCTGTATTAACTTGTCAGGTATATAACTTACAATCAAGTTCTCAAACTCCTAATAAAACATCAAAAGTTTGATTAGAAGAATGAAAACTTTGCCACAAACTGTTTATTCTCAGTTAATGTAACCCCACAGAGGCTGCTGGTGTTGGGGAAAGTTACATCACTGTAACAAGTCCCTCAGGTCAAAGGTCATTCCAGCCTGTCAACATGTTTGTCCCTGAGTCATCTTCACATTAGCCACAGTTTCCACTTATTCCCTCTGAAACAAATTACAGTCAGAGCTGTTAACCAGTGAGACCAATCAGCCAGAGTAGACCTCAGCACTGGTTTCACTGGTCCACTGAGGCCTGAGGATGATAATGACCTCCCCTCAGATTGCTTTGTGACAACACACCTTAGGATGGTCAGATACTGAATGATGTAAACACCTAAAAAAAGTCTACAAGAACGTTTGATGAAGCATTTCTGGGGAGGATTTCTTTTTTTATGTATAAAAATATATATTTCTATATTCTTTCAGTCACTTTGTAAAACAGAGGGATGGTGGGTTACACATTGAAACACTGGTAATGTGAAAAAACATCAAAACATCACAAAAAAGTGTTTCCTGTCTAAAGTTGTTGTGACTATGTGGCCAAATATCTGCTGGAAGATAAGCTGCATAACTCTTCAATGTCTAATTCAGGGAGATGGGAAGTCAGGTACCTATTAGCTCTGTCTCTCTGTAGGGTGTCCAGGTGGTCATAATGTTATGGCTGATCGGTGTATAGACACTTTATGACCCATTTCTGTGTTAAAGGGCCATGCACCCTGCGCAGATAATCTCACCCTGTCTTTCAAAGAAAATAAAGATTTTATTGAAGTTACAGAGGAGGGGACAGATACAGGTCAGAGATCAGTGCAATAGATACAGGTCAGAACAAGTGTGAACCTATCATGACGTCACCCATTGGTTTGTGGAGAACCGTTCTGAAGCCTTGGGTTCGGTGTTTTGGCGACCGACTGTGAGTTGAGCTGCTCTCATTGGCTGCTCTCCTGCTCACACAGGATCTGGTGTTCCAGATAAACAGTAAA